TCTGCTGAAGTGTGTAATGATAGACTAAGGCCAAATTTTTAACTTTTGGAAAATGTCAGTTTTTGGCTGGAAAAAAAACCCGACAGGCGCGCGCCTGTAGAAAAATCTCAATTTTGGGCATTTTTAGGCTATCTCCATTTTTGCTCCAAAATGTCAGATTACACATCTAGATTATCTACTCTACATCTACAGAGTGTCATTCATGTGTAAAAAATTGTCTGGGACTCAAGGTGAAGTGGTAGGACACAAAAAGTTGTTGGGGAAATTTTTAGTAAAAAATCTGTTTTTTTTTTCCTCATTTGCCTATCTCCTTTTCTGCCATCAATTTGCTTCAAAAATGCTCAACTACTCCTCTAGAGTATCTGCTGAAGTGTGTGTGTGATAGACTAAGAGACAAAATTTTTTAACTTTGAAAAATGTCAGTTTTTGGCTGAAAAAACCCGACAGGCGCGCGCCTGTGGAAAAATCTCAATTTTGGGCATTTTTAGGCTATCTCCATTTTTGCTCCAAAATGTCAGATTACACATCTAGATTACCTACTCTACATCTACAGTGTCCATTCATGTGTAAAACAATTGTCTGGGACTCAAGGTGAAGTGGTAGCACACCAAAAGTTGTTGAGGAAATTTCTTAAAAAAAATGATTTTTTTTTCCTTGTTTGCCTATCTCCATTTTTCTGCAATCAATTGGCTCCGAAATGCTCAACTACTCCTCTAGAGTATCTGCTGAAGTGTGAAATGATAGACTGAGACAAAATTTTTAACTTTTGGAAAATGTCAGTTTTTGGCTGGAAAAAAAACGACAGGCGCGCGCCTGTAGAAAAATCTCAATTTTGGGCATTTTTAGGCTATCTCCATTTTTGCTCTCCAAAATGTCAGATTACACATCTAGATTATCTACTCTACATCTACAGTGTCCATTCATGTGTAAAACAATTGTCTGGGACTCAAGGTGAAGTGGTAGGACACCAAAAGTTGTTGGGGAAATTTCTTAGTAAAAATCTGTTTTTTTTTTCATTTGCCTATCTCCTTTTCTGCCATCAATTTGCTTCGAAATGCTCAACTACTCCTCTAGAGTATCTGCTGAAGTGTCTAATGATAGACTGAGGCCAAATTTTTAACTTTTGGAAAATGTCAGTTTTTGGCTGGAAAAAACCGACAGGCGCGCGCCGCCTGTAGAAAAATCTCAATTTTGGGCATTTTTAGGCTATCTCCATTTTTTTTCCAAAATGTCAGATTACACATCTAGATTATCTACTCTACATCTACAGTGTCCATTCATGTGTAAAACAATTGTCTGGGACTCAAGGTGAAGTGGTAGGACACAAAAGTTGTTGGGGAAATTTGTTAGAAAAATCTGTTTTTTTTTTCCTCATTTGCCTATCTCCTTTTCTGCCATCAATTTGCTTCGAAAATGCTCAACTACTCCTCTAGAGTATCTGCTGAAGTGTGTGTAATGATAGACTAAGGCAAAATTTTTAACTTTTGGAAAATGTCAGTTTTTGGCTGGAAATCAAAAACGCACTAAAGATTATGGCGGTGATGGACATGAAGCATAGAATGCTGTTCACACTTTACTAGCACTTAATCATCTCACTTACTGATCATGGATTGGGGTTTCTGTCTGTCTCGAAGAGTCAGAATGAAGCTATGCGGATGATCCTGGGATGTACAAGAGAAACCTTGATTGTGTGCATGCGATACATCCTTGCATTGCCAACTAATGCAGGTATGCTAAAGGTGCTGCAGGCTAAGTCATTACTCAGAGTAGCTACAGACAAAGAACACCCTCTGTATGAAGCTTTGGCTGCAGGTAAGGGTCAGAGGCTGAAAAGGGGGAAATCATGGATGACTCAAGCAGAAGACCCAATAAGACAATTATGCATGCTGGAGAACTTTGAGCGAGGAGAGGAGTGGGTCAGAGTACCAGAGGAACTTTCTGACCTGTGTAGAGTTATGATCACATTGGGCCAGGAGTGCAGAGAGTCGTCAGTGGGTGCTACGGAGGTAGAAGTCCTGGCTGGATCTGCATCACTGGGTGGTGAATTGATACATGACAAGGCAGATGTGGTCAAGGCTCTTTGGGAACAAGCGACGGAATCAGTAGAGATACAAGATTAGGCTATCCTCTGAATAACGGGCACATATTATGGCGGCCAAAAACAGGGCCTAAAAAATTCCGACAGCTTTCTCCACAAACTTATCCAATAAATAAAGGGCAATTAATTAAGGCATTTTTAGACAAGATTTAAAGCAAAATGTTCCTAGCTATAATTTTAAATACAAGTTTCTAAATGTTTCAGGTATTATTAGTTAACTTTTATTAAATGCATAATCAATACTCTGAGACACTGAGTACAAATGTTTGTGATTGGAAATTAATATATATCAATGGTCTAAAACTTAGTTAAAAGCATATGCAGTTGTTGGATTTAACTGACCTACCTCCTCTTTTTCCCTCAAGCATCTCCAGGGAACACACAAAGTTTAACTGTTCATCAAAGTGTGTAAAATGCGTTGCAATATTAATTACAAAATTCAGGCTGAGCATAACATTTGCTTTAACCCTACCAGACCGCTGGCCAGATTTTTCGGGCATTTCTTAACCTGACGCTATACCACTGGCCCTAATTTTCGGCTATATGCGTAGTGCGTAAAAAATATGCGTCACAAACTAAAAATAACTAGCTAATCGTAATCAGACCTCGTGGATAGTCTTCCTAGATGTTCACCCTCATGTGTTTGGATAAAATTTGTTGCTTTACGTGAAAAAATTCTGAAAATTTACAATAAAACGAGTGTCTTATGAACCAAGCACTTCGACAGGAAAGTAAAGTAGGTCTAGGCTTTTCAGTCCAACAGGTGATCAATACTCTGCTTTTTTTTTTCAGACTCTGCGGAATCATTTCATGAAGAATACGTTCACAGTTGAAGTGACACATAATGAGGAGAATCTTGAAAATTATAAATCTAGAAATAGATCGGTAGTAAGAGAAGGAGGCGTGTCCCTCAAACAGCACAATCTGGTGCTCACTTTGTGAAACAATCTTAATCCTCCTGAGTGGATTGGCACACAAAGGTGGAATATTAGCGCTAGATAAAAGATAAGCCTATTTTTCACAATGTCTCCAAGTTTCATCTTATTCAAGCCACTTGTCTGCATGTAACGAATTTTTTTGTATATTATGTTGGTTTGTTAGCAATAATGCCCAGGAGCTCGGGTATAGGGAACAGTTAGGTTCAGGGCCTCAGGTCTGGTAGGGTTAACACAGTGATCTCTAACCATTATCATTTATAATGGTTTTATCTTACTTTTTGTTTTTTAAGAATTTTACAGGAGATCATTTATTTATTAGGAAGTACAACACTTTGTCGAGAATGATAAATAGAAAACAAAAAGAAAGAGATAGAAGAAGAGATAAAGAGAAAGAGAAATGAAAAGAAGATCTAATTAGGTGGTGGTGGTGGTAGTGTATTTGTAGTCTGGTAGAATAAGAAGAAGAAGAAGGAGAAAAAGAAAAAGAAAAAAAAAAAATGAAGTAGCAATAGTAGCAGCAGCATAAGTAGATGTACTCATAAATACTCTAGTGTATTCTACCCACTTACTGGTGAAATTGATTTTATGATTCTGTGTAAATCCTAAGGCTAGATTATAAAAAAATCCTTTTATTTAGGGATTAAAGAAAACATTAGTGCATAGGAGTTAAATCATTTAGCTTAGTTTCAGAAAACAAATGTCTTATCAGACCTGTTTTATGTGCTAGAGTTATCTTTATAAATTATGTGTAATCTGTTTGTCTTTACAAAAGAAAAATAATAAACATAAAAGCTTTTTACATGCGTTCAGAAAGGAATCTATATCTGTTAAGTATATTCCTAAAGACCTAGATTGAAACAGACAACTGCTAAAAAATGTACAGCAAAAAAAAAAATGAATTCACTTAAGATTTAATGAGGATTTAGTTGGAATTTACGGCATATGCCTCTTTCCTGCTGATGAATAGTACTTTTAATAAACTTTTTTCTTCCTGACTGAATTCTCTGCCGTTTCTCTATTTCTGCATTTATCTTTCTTTTCACTACAGTTTTTTTTTTTTTTTTTCTCATTTTATCTCATCTCCATTCTTTTTCTTGTGTGACTCTCCATGTGTGTATGTGGTTTAGGATGTTTGCCATTAATTTTGTTGATAAAGATTCGGGTCAAAACATTTGGTTGTGTCTGAGCGTGCTGCTTTCATTTCCACTCAGTGAGCATACATTTATAAGTAAAAGGTAAAGTAAAGGACCCTTTTCACTTGCATCAAGTAAATGATGTTAGACTCCACTTTACATAGACCAAATGCCACTCAGTGGATGGTAGGGTCAACATTATTCCAGCCACCTTTACTTCCCAGTACATTACCTGGTAGTCATTTTGGGCTGGGTCAACTTGGGAGTCAATGTCAATTTTGAAAAAAATTAAAATTCAGCTCCGTATAAATTAGAGCATACAATGTGTTAATTCATTATGTGATATCAGCTTGACTATAGACACTTCCTATTCTATATAAATAACTAGGCTTTCTCAGGTCAGTCACAATATGAAGAGGACTACAACTACAAACAGAGGAGATCAAAGTCTAGGGCAGCAAATTTTTTTTAAAACAAAGTAATAGATATTGTCACATGGGTAAGTAATGACACCGAAGTTCATATTTAAATACAGCTGTGGAGACATTTGCAAATAAGGGATGGAGGTGAACATAACTGGATGAACTAGCCTAATAATGATGATTCAATAATTCTGTAGATCTGTTTTGCCAATACATTCTGATTAATATGCATGCCTTCACAGCATTTACCCAAAGTTGAGAGCTCATCTAAACTTACCACTTAGATGAACTAAAAGAGTCATATTTGCTTTTTGCATGGGCAACTCAAAATGTTGGTTCCACACAGTATACAGATACATATGTTCTAAAGGGCAAAGTAGGAAGAAAGCTAAGAAGTACAGCAGCTTACCTCATAGATCCACACAGATGTTGTCAAGATTTGGTTTTTCTCATCCTGCAATGAATTATCATTCAAGTGTGTGATGCTTACACATTACAAATTACATAAGGCAAATATGTATGATATATTTGACTAATGAATTATGATTCTTTGCATATTTCTTTTCAGTTGTGATTGTGGAATCTATAGTGCAAAAATTTGCCATTACTGCAATTCTAGCTCAGTCAACATTTAAGATTTTTATTCTCAAGATTGTTCTGAAAAGGAAAGACATCACTGAAAGGAGCTGTCGATTCCACTTCATAATGACACTGATAGGTGGACAACTACCATTTTAAACCCCCAGGGTAGTATTTATCCTACTGTCTACTGCTTCTGCTTCTGCTCCAGCTTCTACTGCTTCTGTTGCTGCTTCTATTTCTGCTGCAGCTACTGCTGCTGCTTCTGTTGCTGCTTCTACTTCTGCTGCAGCTACTGCTGCTGCTTCTGTTGCTGCTTCTACTTCTGCTGCAGCTACTGCTGCTGCTTCTTCTTCTCCTTCTTCTGCTGCTGCTGCTTCTTCTTCTTGTTTTTATCTTCTGCATTTTATTTTTACCTTAAAAAATGGATGTTAGCATGTTGTGTTGTGGTTTACAGCTAAATTGCAATATCTGCCCAACACATCCAATTTCAACAAAATCCTTAAATAACACCTTTCATGGCATGCTTGTTAAGGGACAGTAGGTTTATTGTTTTCCTCCCCAAAAATAAAGCAGCGAAACCCAATGGGGAGTATCTACTTTATGATCACTTTTGATATTTACACAAGTGCTTGCATTAAGATGTTTACTAATTTCAATAATTTCTAGCCATGCAGCCACAAATCCTCAGGCTCAGGACCACTTGTCTATACTACCCTAAAAAAAAGTGGTAAAATCTTGGTAATCTTAGTTTCAAAATTTATAGCAAACGGGTCATCCGATCCTATGCCAACGCAAGTACTAACATCCTATGAACAGCAAATAATCCTTTTTTCTGTCAGTGGATTTTAGAACAAGGGTTCTATATGCTGTAAACTAGTCCTTTCTATAATATGGGTTGCAAATGAACACAATAGGTCTTGCTTCACTTTTGGAATGCTCTATGCCTGGAATGCCCCAAGGTGTCAGGGCAGGAAGAGATCCCTGGAACAGGCCCTTCTGTTCACTTTGTATAAAGTACTTTTCAGTATCTCAGATATTTCTGCAAGATTGAAAGAGTGCTTGTAGAAAATGAAGAGTTTTCACTGACAATTAGTAAACAACCCAAAAAAGTATCTTGAGGTCTTAGGGATGTTCTGTTACATTAAAAAAAATGCATGTCCTTCACAGGACCCTAAAGAATCAATACTAGCAATTTTTGGCTGTTTGTGATTTCACTAAGCAATTTTATATTCAATATTTTGCAATTGCTTTCTGAACGGTCCGCTTTCGATGCAACTGCTGAAACCAACACAAGGTGGTCTGCTGCCAAATCACCCACAGTTGAGATCAAACCTGGCACAATAGAATTATGAAGCACATTGACAATGCCTAAGTACATTGCTTAATATTCTCTGCACAGCAAAAATGAGTAATCTGGATGCTCAGACAGAACTGAAGACAACTTATCACAACCATCAGAAAGAGACATGCATAATTTGGTCCGCAGGTAATGAGAAAAAAACAATGGATCAAGTGACAAAATGAAAAATTTGTGGGAAAAGAGATAGAGAAAGACACTTTGAGAATATTCTTGACAGTCTTTTGTCATAGCAGGTAAGAGTTAATCTACTGATCTGTGACTTAGATGCTTAACAAAGGTGGAAAAGGGAGAGGGGGGAACACACATACCTGAATAATGACACTTCAGCAGCAGCTTTTATCCACACACAAAAACTATGGGGTGGGGAGGGAGGCAATTTTGACCACCAGGGAGGTACGTAAACAGCTAATAGGTTAGGGTGTCAGCACATGAAGTGATACACGCTATTGGAGATCACAATTTGTGAAGAGGCATGATCACACTCAATAGTCAGCAAGGCACTCAGTGATTATGATAGGGATAAAGATGATGAGTTGTGTACATTTTAAAAATGCAGGAACTGACCAGATCAAGCAGCTGGTTCAGTGAAAGATCAAACTTGACTACAACCACATGGCTTGCATTCCTCACAGGTCTGGAGTCAGCAGTATAGTTGCGAAACAGGTGTCGGTACAGCTTGTGTTCTGGTCCAATCAGGGGTGAATTCCCTGAATCTAGAGGAAAAAGTACACAGTGTGTGATTCTTCAAAATCATCATCATCATCATCATCAATAATTTTAACTTGTTGGTTAATTATGATGCTTGCATAACATTCTATTCCATAAGTGTATGTTGTAGGACTGTTTTCCTAGAATAAAAATGGTGCTGGTAGTCACCATAAAATGTCCACAAAAACTAGCTTGATTCATGGTGCATGATGCTTTGGTTCCTTGGTACCCAGTGTTAACTAACATCTGGTGCAATTAACTCTTCACTTACTACAGATGTGAGCTACGGTAGAACACTGGGCAGCACACTAGCTTTCCAACTTGGTAGTGCTGTCTTTGAATGCCTCTACAGCATATTTTATGTTACCAGGTTGTGTGATGTGGTAACTCAAGGATGACAGGGTTTTCTGCACTTCAGTGGTTACATGTTTCAACCTCTTTGAGTTGGTAAATATTTTTTGATGCAGTTGAAAATTCGTACCAAGAAGTTACTTTGGAAGAAAAAGTGACCAGAGGAATCTTGACCACATCACCCATTGTGTACAATTCAATTCCATTTTTGGGGAAAATAACAAACTTCGTGACTCATTCAACCTTCTCCTTAACTGAGCGGCAGTTATATCCAATCCGTGTGTATTTGCTGGCTTGAAGTCAATCTTATTTGCTGTGGCATTTTGTTATGCCTGAGATTTGTTGTCATTTTGTGTACCTGCCACCGTGGTCTGTGCTCTGAGCTGATGCAGGTTTTGTGAGGCAAAGATCTGGCAAGTGAGGAGGGGTCTCAAAACTGAGATTTTTCCACAGGCTTCTATGCTGGTTTTGCTAGCCAAAAACTGACATTTTCCAAAAGTTGAAAATTTTGTCTCACACTATCACTCCACACTTCAACAGATACTCCAGAGAAGTATTTGCGGATTTTTGAGCAAACTGGTGGCAGAAAAGGAGAAGGGGATGAAAAACAGATTTTACCAAGAAATTTCCCCAACTTACTCCATATTTTAATAATTAAAGTTAAAGTACAGTTTGTATTTAGTTGTCTATGGTACGAGACAGCCAGTTACACATGACGTCTCTTATTTAATTATAGTCTCACAATTATAGCAGACTACACTGATAACTATAATCGTTTGCTAGGCTGTGGGTCAAGGCAACAGTCACACATATGCATCATTTTTACTTACGGTGTCCTAAACAGACGAGAAGGTATCATATTTTCCTTATGGGATAAACCACAAATACATTGCTCTTCGTTACACATAAAAAACTTCAATACAGCAAAGCAAATAATAAGATGGTTGCAATATATATTATTAATATTATGATAATAATTAAATATACTCACCAGTCGTCGCGAACAATGCGACTAATATCCACAAAACAGAAAAATGATAACTTATAAATGCGTGATTCCTTCATATCTTCACCAACACAGCCTCCAGTGTTTACAGTCGTATCACTGAACACAAAATATAACTGCTAAATGTTATGAGATCCCGTCTAATGAAGCCGCCATTTTCCAACAGCTCTGTGCTCACACAGCTATCAAATCTTCATGCGTGTTCTCTCAGCTGACGGCATACGCGTGCAGTCTGGGTCAGCTGGTTTGGCGGGGCGAAGCTTCTGCAAAGCTCTCGGGTGGACCAAAGCTTGTCTTTTGTTATGTTTTGTGAAGGGTACATTAAATAACTGGGAGCTGCAGTGGTGGAGCAGCTAGACGCTAGCCTGGGGATCCGAAGATCGTGTTTTTAGATCCGTACGGTGTCGAACTTTTTTTTTCAAAAATGACCTTGGCTCCGAGGTCGACCCAGCCTTAAATGGATATCAGGTAAAAGTTCTGGAAAGTAAAGGTGCCTGGCGTGATGCTGACCACATCAGTCACCAAGTGCCGATTAGTCTATCAAAACAATGTAAGTATAGCACAGGGCTAATCAACTAGCGGTCCACAGGCCAAATCTGGCCAGCAAAGACCTAGCAAGTGGTCCGTGGATCATTGACAATTGTAATAATAGTCTTCCTATGCTGGACTTAAGGCCTCTGGCCCGCAACGATCCCCATTTTCGACATTTTGGCTCTTGGGTTAACTTATTTAAATGGCTCTAGATCAGCGGTTCTCAATCTGTGGTTGCGACCCTTTTTGGGTCAAAGGACCCTTTCACAGGGGTCGCCAAAGACCATTGAAAAGCACATATTCATAGAGATTTTAAAGTAGTAACGAAAATAAATCTATGTTTTGGGGCCATACGTCCCACGAGAGTGCAGCCTACGTCCCACAAAAAAGTGCAACCTACGTTCCACGAAAGAGTGCAGCCTACGTCCCACGACTGCATGCAGCCTATATTACGCTGCACATAGTGGTGCGACCTAGGCTGCATGCAGTTAGGAACGTAGGCTGACGCTTTTGGGTAGGGGGATTAGGGTTAGGGCCAGTTCTACATGTTTTGGAAACTTAAAAAGGGCCCACACCGAGAAATATAGAACACGCAAAATCGCAGGTCAATAACAAAAATTGAGTAAAATACTACTAGTTGTAGTCACTAAGCATGACACCCCCTCAACATAGGACAGGCCCTGCGAGACTACGAGGTATGAATGGCAAGAGAAGCACTCTCTTTCTGGGCCGGACAACGTTACTATAACCCGCATTCTGCTGAAAAACAACCGACCCGGCTGCTTCGAGATACCAGCTAAGTGATTTTGTGTTTTTGTGTAGTATTGTTTCATTTGTATGTACTGATGAAGGCTCAATAGCAGCAACGCTCACGTTTTGTGTGTATTTGTTATATTGTGAAGCTTGCTTATATACATTTCGTTCGGTTTTATATCTTTTCTACAACCCGCCAGTAGTGTTGTAACTAAGGGCGTTAGTGCTTGTGTCAGCTCGGAGGGTAGACGGATGGCGGAAGAGAATATTCTTAGCTGCAGTGATATGAAGATGATGGGTTAAATACTGAATGGTGTAACAGTCCTCAAATATAGTAGACTAACCTACCAGACAACAGATGTTGCACACGGACGCAGGCTAGAAAGATGTGTAAGGCAAATCCGGCCTCTACTGTCGCTTTCCTCGGTTTTTCGCGCTGCTTAAAAACGTTCCTAGCCCATATTGGACTAATCAGCCATCTTCGTATTCACAAATATTGATCATTACTATTTTGGGTGCAAAATGGTCACCACTTGTTATAGACCAACAACATAAACTACATTGCTTACATAGGAACCCATTATCTTCTTCTTATCTCATTTTCTTCCCTGGTGGCTATGGTTCTTATTCTTCTCGTCTGCTCTCTTCTTTATTTTTCATTTATTATTATTCCTCTCTCTCTCTCTCTCTCTCTCTCTCTCTCTCTCTCTCTCTCTCTCTGTGTGTGTGTGTGTCTCTCTCTCTACCCCTCTCTCTACCCTCGACTTAACTTTAAGATCACGGGAGAAATAAGTGTGCATTACACGGGTTTCTACTTCTATATTAAAATTCGTTTGTATATGTATAGTGTGGGGTTAGTCTTAACTTCTCTTCCTTTTTAGGACGAAATTTTTCGTTATTTGAAGCCCTACTCTGGCTTTTGCCAGGGGCCGCAATATAGCCTGGCCTTAAATATGGTCTAAAGGCTGAACGCGGTTTCTGGGACCTCTCCACGGTGATCCTCACCCACATGGTGGCACATTGTGTCATCGGGTGTTTATCGCTTGTGTGATGTCCTGGTGGGGTAAAAACTCAGTCAGTCAGTCAGTCAGTCAGTCAGTCAGTGTGGGGTGTAATCTACTCCTGCACGCGACTGCTCTTTTCTCAACGTCTGCCCCAAATAGTGACGCATACTAGTCGGCTTCGATCTCAGATAAATTAAAACAAAATATTGTTACAGACCTTGTCAGGGAAAAACAGAAAGACAACGAGACGCCACAACCTTCAGGCTTCACCGTGTTTACTGTCTGGTTGTTAGTATAAGAAACCGGTAATTGGACTAACCTGTGGTGACCTTACACGATGGTGATTTTGCCTTCTTTCCGGCTTTGAGCAGTAACATATTTCATGCCAAGAAATGCACAATTTGATTTTCTATTACTGAACATGTCAGCGGCGCCGGAACATAGGAGCTCAAAAAGGCACTTTGAGGACCGCCCCCCCCCCCCCCAACCATTTTATGAAGCTGAGGCCCTCCCCAAAATTTCCAGGAAGAGTGGTGCGGAGAGGGGTTTGGGGGGGGGGGGGGGGGGTATGTCCATAGATTTTATATTTGTAAGTATGTGTTTATACATTTCTTACATTATTTAATAAAATGATGATGATAAGCAGTTAACAATAATTAGTATTACTATTGTGCAATATAACAAGGCGCAAGAATCCTTACCTCCCCCTCCTTCCTCAGAAAACTAGTTGGAGTGGCTGATCGCCCCTTTCCCCATTTCCACCCTCAGTTCTTCTCTGTGGCGACGTCCTTTGCATAGCGATGTTTGCAAATGTATGTCCTTGACATTTGTGACAGTAACCTACGCAGCTCGACTGTTTAACCCCTCCTGTCTCAGGTATTTTATTATAGCTCATACAGCTTTAATACTTTACATCACTGTTCTTCAACCCCTGGGTCGTGGCCCACTGCGGAAAAGTCCCTGTGGGCCATGTTACTCTGTTTTGGCGGCTCACGGGTGTCAAATATAACTAACTACTTTACTGTTCAACGGGGCTACTGTGAGCTCTTGTTTAATTCTCATATATGGAATTGTCACATAACGCTGGTGTCACGTGTCTTTATTAGAGTTTCTCCTAATACCCAAAAAGACACACTGAAGTAGTCTAGAGATGCTGGCTCGCAATGGTACATGCGGTATCCCGCAGCTCCAAAGAACCTCCAACCTACTTCAGGGGTGAGGCGACTCAAGTTATGGCACTACAGAATTCATAAATATTCCTAGGCGCAACTTGGACTGATTTCGCCACTACTTTTAAGCCCCCAGACTAGACAGTGATCCTATGCTAGTCAAATTACCACAGCACATAATAAACTACGCA